GATGAGCTAGTCTACGGCTTCCTGGACAGCCCTCTAGAATCGTCTTTCTCACTGTCTTGATACTTCCATGGCATTTAGTACTTCTGACATTTCTTCAATTCTACACAAGTGACACACTGAGGTCTCAAAAAGTAGACCATAAGACAAACTGCCTCCCAAAACCCAAAGGCTCAGTAACTTCTTCTAACATGCTACAGTAAGCTAGTATCCTAGCAAAGGCCTACTGGAAAATTCATACTTTCACATTTTAAACACCTAAGTATCACTTTTTAAAGAACCATAAAAGAGATCTGAAAATAACTCTCTTGAGAAACATAAATGCTTTTACAAAGTATTGATGTAACACATTTTACAAATTAAACAACCCAAATGAGAATTTATCAAAAGCCATCTCATTCCTACCCAGAAGGAGGGGTATGACCTAATAAACTCTTTTATCAAAAGGAAAAAAAAATGAGTTAAATGCTCAATCCAAGAATGAGAACATCCCAACAAACACAGGAAAGGTGGTGGGGGAACAGGGAGTGCACGCAGGCCCAAAGGCAGGGAACCTACAGGAAAAGAATGGCTGCTTGGAAGGCAAACTGGAGGGACCAGGGCCAGGCTGACCCAGCATTCCCATTAGATCTCCTCTCAGCCAACAGACACAGCTCTGCTGGAAACATGAAGGAAGCGGTGGCTAGAGTTGCTGGAGAAAGGCTGCTCACAATGAGACGGAGATGGCACCCCAACCTCAAGCTCTTCACCAACCTGACAGGGCCACCTACTTCTGCTCTCTGCTCCAGCCAAACACTCAGCCCATTAGTCAAGAGGCCCCTTGATCTATGTATTGGAGTTCTGGTTCCACATGGCAGCATGAGAGCCACTTGGGAACACAGAAACCTGGGGGTTCAACCAAGTGTACAGGGTATGATCCCAAAAGGATTCTCCCTTAAAGGTAACCAATTGTTGGGAGTAGGAAACGTGCAAGGCTAACATGTAGCTACTGAAAACTAATGCTACATCCCAGCTACCTAAGGTGGACAAGGACAAACTAAATCCTCTTGCATGTCCTGGCTGATTTACCTGAGATACAAAAGTCTTAAAACTATAATAAAAATTGATGATAAACACAGATTCAAGGTGCACTGACCACAAAAGATGTCACAGAAACCTGTCTCTGTACACTAGTCCAGTTAAAAATGGCACTTCTCTCTGATCCATCCACAACACCGAGAAGCAAACACTTCCTTCCTGCCCTAACTGCCAGGAACTCTCACTTACCTATGGAAAATGCAGCTTGTTTTCCATCTTTTGTACAGACAAACCTGGAGGTTAATCCCAAGGCTACTATACATTTTCTTTTTAAGATTAAGAAACAGGGCTGGAGGAGGCGGTCCATGGAGAGACAGCTTAGCAGGTAAAATGCTTACCATGCAGGCATGAGGACCTGAGATCAATCTCTAGAAAATATGTAAAAAGCTGGGCATGGCAGTGAGGACATTTGATTCTACAGCTGAGAAAGAGGAGAGAACCCTCAGAGCTTGGCAGCCTAGTCTAATCCCGACCTCTAGGTTCCATATTAGGGGTGCAAAAGAACACAAAAGATTGATCTTTGACCTCACACACATGCACCTGCATCCACACAAACAAGTACCCACACATACAGTCACACCCCCAACCAGTCACCAGCTTCATGGCACTGGGATCCATGGAACTAAGACCCTTTGGGAGCACTCCACACACAGGGAGAACTGTCTGCTTTGGACAGTCACCCTGAGTGTTCAGCACTAAAACCAAGAGCTACCTATCTACCTTTCATGCCTCGTATAACATCCTGTGGTGGACAAGGAGCTTTTCTGGTCTGTAGCTGAAGTAGCAGCAGCAGCAACACAGAACTGAAAAGTTGGACAACTGTGAGAAGTGTAAACAACCCCATACCCACCCTAAAGGGAAGGCTGTTTTCTTCCTCCCTGGGCACTGGAGTGGTAAAGAAACCCAGCTGAGAAACAGGTTGGCAGAGCAGAGGTGGACAGGGTCTAGGCTGGGGGTGGGAGAGGGAGCCAGCCAGTCAGTCAAGAGGGTGCATTCAAATCCAGCAGCACTTCTGGTAAATGGCACAGTGAACACAATCAGAGTGGTAGGTGGGTTGCTTAAAGAGATACAAGAGCCACACAAGTGGAAGCTAACACAGCAGCACACACATCCTGTACAAGAATATTCTGGGACAGGTCCTGGAACACTGTCTCTTCAGATGCAGACTGGCTCGAAAGCCAGCAGTAGCCATGGGAAACATGGTTCAGCTATGACGCGCTCAGAGGCACAGCAATGGCAGCACCAGGACCTGGAACAAGGCAGTAAGTAGTAATAGTCACCTGCTCAGAGAGCCTGGACCACCTGGCTCCCATACTCATACCACTGGCAAAGCCAGAGATCCCTTTCTACAGAGGAAGACGCACAGAGCAGAAGCAGGGCTGGATGGATGTTACAGGCAACCTGCTGAGATACTTGCTTGGTCTCTTGCCCCAGGATTCTGGTACCCAGTACCCATCCCAGAGTGAGGTTACAGGGGTTCAACAAGATTGGAAATATAAGCTGCTAGAACGGGCCAGGGCCTTTAAGGGCCTTATGAGCTAATGGGCTTACCAACCAGAAAAAGACTGAAGGCAGAGCCCCAACAGACACACAATACCTGTGAAGAAAACTGGACAGCACCATGCCCCAAGAGAGAACAGGAGGAGTCAGAAAACAGAGACAGGAGGCAGCTGCATAGGCAGAGAAGAATCCCAAGCGTAACTCTTCACTCAGTCCCATCAGTATTAACACCAGAGTGGACTAAGAGGGCAGCACTCGGAAAGTAGCTCTAGCTCACATTTCAACCAGTCACTTTCCCAACTGGGTGAGCACAGGGTTGTGGTAAAGTGTTGGCAGGCACAAGAGATACTTCAAGCACCCTACTCCATACTGGGTAAGCCACCACCCCCAGATCCCTCTGCTGGGCTACTCCGCTTACACCCTCGCCCACGTTGATTCCAAATAGCAAGAACACTTAAGACTCTCTCATCCTAGGCTTTCCGTTGGTCTTTCTTGGACTGCTTGCTTCATTTGCAATACTCCTGCTAGGGACACCTTCACAAAGCCTCTGGGATGGGATAGAAGGTAGTAAAGCCCAGAGACCAGGGGCAGACCGGGCAGAGGAACAAAGAAGCCAAAATGCAACAGGAACACAAGGTGGTGTCTTGGGTGGGCTTAGGACAGGGCTTTTTCTGCTTCCTTCAATACAGAGTCCAAAGCAAAATGAAAGTGGAAACGAAATGGTACCTGCACGCATGGTGCCCCGGAAAGAAAAAGCAAAGAGCAGAGCAGGACTGCTTTGAGCTGGGAGTACAGGGAGGCCTGGGTGAGCTGCCTTTGGGAGTTCTTGACAGAACGTTAGGTCTTAAACTCCCAAGAAAGACTCCAATTTGAGCACTCCTCAGCACTGCACCAAGGGAGCAGGTAGTGCCAGAGAAATTGTAAGAGTAGCTTCTAGTCCTAATAATTCTTGCTACAAAGTAGCAAAGCTTGTTTATCACCACCAGAATTTTCTTGTGCTCATGAATGCAGGACAAGGAATGGTCTAGAAATGAGATGTGATTGGCAATGAGAAGTGCCTGGGTACTTTTCCTACTCAAGTGAAAGGATGTATGCTTACACAGGATACACTCTCATGGCATGCATGTTAGAAAATAGGTACGATTAACTCAGTTGTCAGGAATACTGCACAAACTGATGACACAAAACACAGCGCTTCTGCTCCATACTATAAAAATGCAACATGAAAGATATTTCACACCAATTTTCAAGTCTTTTGTAGCTCAAGCTTATTATTTCTGTGAAGCATTTGATACTTGGTGTAAGTGACCGAAATGGAGTTGAAAGCATGCCCTCTATGCTAGTGGCTTCTCAGACACATGCTAAGATGTGGGCCCCATGAAATGTCCCACACACCCTGTGGATACATGCCTTTCTCTGCCTACTGACAGTGCTTCTTCTATATAGACTTGAAGTCATGCCGCAAACACTCTGACCTTCAATACTGCAGAAATGTGCCATACATGTTAGGAAACAAAAAGGAGATTGGCTACAGAGGTTAAAGAGAAGAGTGAATTTCATGGAAGTAACCCTTGCTGACACACCATCCCTGGAGCAGAGAAAGAAAGTGAGGAGAACAGGCACAGGAAACACTTGGTTCTTGAGCTGGCATGTCATAGCTACATCCCACGCCATCTTCAGTACTAGTCAGTGTGACATTAAGAGACAACATTTATCGAAGAACTACTAAAAAGCTAACACATATATTTGAGCTTAGTGAGGACTCTGCAGGGAGGCATTATCATTCATGTCTGAGGAATGAGAAAACAAAGCCTAGGTATTCAACAATGGAACTATGCAGCCAGCCACAGCAGCAGAATGAAGGCAGGTCAGAGAGAGCACTGAGAACCATAGCCCACCCCACAGTAAGCAACAGGCTCTCAAAGAGCGCAGTGTGCTTTTCATGGTAGAAAAGCTAACACAAAGCCTACATTTTCTGGTTTTCTTAGAAACTATGTTTATTTACCATTTTTTTCATAGTCCATTAGGACATGTGAGAAATTCTCCATCTCATTCCACAATGGGTAAGCACCAGGAAACTGTCTCAAAACACCAAAATTATGGCAGTGTTAGACAAAATGACTTGAGAGAACTGAATCTGAGAGACAGTAAAAGTCAAACTTTTCAAAAAGTCAAACTTTAAAAGATAGCCGAAAACTTAGGGCTCTCCTACCTGTGATCAATGTTCTAGGGTAGAGCCAATGGTGTGGCAGGTGGAAAGCAGAGCCCAGGCACCAAAAAAAACCAGCTCAACTGCAATCTGAGTAGGCACCAAACACAAAGCATCCAGCTCCTATCACACTTCCACTTGTAAAGTGACCTGTGCCTCTCGTCATACTCCCTCAGTAAAGCAGGGCTTCAAAGCAAAGCCAAGTGAGTTGACTTACCCGTGCTGGACATGTGGTTCACACGGGCAGGATTCAGCAGCTCTACTGGCTGGTCTCGACCAGAAAGTCCATCTGAGGAGAGGAGACACTGGCTTCAGAAAGGGCGAGTTGAGCAGAAAGTTTCTGGCAGTGAATGGTACTGAAAAGCATGTATGCCCCACCCCCGCCCCCCACCCAGCGTCACCAGCCCCACCCATCTTTTAGAGGACAGTTTCAATTCCAGCACTGATTACTTTTACTTGCCAGAGAAAATGAAAGGCTCTTTGTAGAATAATCAAAACAGCCCCCAGTTGAGATATGGTGAACTGGGATTCCCGCCTGAGGGCATCTGGTTGGGCTAGCATGGTTTACTTATATTTAGCCTTATCAGAAGTGAGCTTTTCTGCAGAGACCACAAGCATTAAGATAAAGAGCACCCCCTCTTCTAAGATAAGGAGGAAGGGTCTGGACTTTGACACAAACAACAGCAGCTAGGGCACGTGTGGCAGTCAGCAGGAAACAGGGTGCCAGGGTACTCCACGCAGCCCCAGGGGATGCCTTGCCAGCACCAGCGTCCTTACAGAGATTACACAATCATTTCTTTGAAATCCATTTTTAGATCACATTCAGGAACCAATTTGGCTATTCTGACTTGAGGCAAGAATAAGACTGGAACCCACCCACCACCAAGCCTGGCACAGGATGGATATAGACCTCCTGGTACTTCTGTGTTCCCTAAACATGAAGGAAAGAAGACCCATAAAACCTCAGCTTGTGACAAGTAGTATTTGACATTCTGCAGGGACATGCAAACAATTGCAGACCTGCATCAGCAGTCACCCATGACAGGGCAGACATGCAGCCCCCACAGACAGGGTTTCAAAGCAGAACACAAACAGATAATAAATAGATCAGGTCAAGTAAGAGAGCCAATCTGTGTGTCCTGGGAGGAATTCAACTCTGAAGAAAGAAGCCTTAACCCAGGAGATCCAATGCATGCCCTTCCACGAAAGAGACAGCAACATGCAGGAGATCATCTGAATCACACAGGAGACAGAGTGGGACTGCTCCTCTGCACCACGCAGAATCGAGTTCTAGCAACTTTAGCATTTTATAATAGTCAAAAGAAGCATGCTAAGCCTATCTGGGATATGTAGACCATGCTTCAGGGATGAGAAAGAGGACAGGAGTCTCTATCATCTTATAGGCAACCACTAATCTCAAAAAAATCACCCTGCCATTTACTTATAAACCAAAGGCTTTCTCAAGAGGATGGGTTGTAAAGGCAACAACAGTCTCCTTGAACCTTTATGACTACTCAAAAAGAAACCTCAAAGGGCAGAAAGTAATTCCCAAGCCTTTCTTTCCTGCAAAGAAATAAGTGCTCATTGTAGAAAGCAGTAAAATGTTCCAAAAGGGTGTGTGTGTGTGTGTGTGTGTCTGTCTCTCTGTGTGTGTGTCTCTCTCTCTCTCTCTCTCTCTCTCTCTCTCTCTCTCTCT